TAGATGAATCATGGAGGGGGAGTGAGGCAAGAGAAAAGAAAGCATATGTCAGGGGTTTATTAAAAAGTTCTAAGAATTCATATTCTCCCCCATACACATTTATGCCTGAGGGGTGAGTTATACCTTCATTTGTCAATATCTGCAAAGCACTTTGAGATTATCCATTGAAAGGTATATTATATATATATTGTAACAAATCAGACTCATAAGTTAAGGAAACTAGATATAACTTGCTTTTAAACATTTTCATCCAGTAGCCCTTTTCCTGCAGTAACCCTTAATCTTTTTCACAAGCTGTAATAGTACCAAGACCAAGAAGGGTTTTCCAAAGAGTGGATGTAGGAAGCTGATAAGAGAAGTATTCTTCAGGGCTTGGTAGCATAGATTACATTGCAAAAAACATATATCTCTTTGCAGTCTCATTTTTCTCCTGTCACCTATTGACATTTTGAAAGATTTACTGATGAACTTAAAAACTGCAGAACTTTTAAAGTTACTGATGTGGATGTATTAGCCTAATTACAGATGTGCTACTACATTTAATACTTTTTCCTTCTACTATAGGGAGCCGTTCATTACAACTCATAACTGGAGGAAAGGGCTTTACATGATTGTTGCTGACATTAAAAAAGACATATGCAAATTGTGTTTCCAAACAACTCTCCAAAGTTCAAGAGCTGATGTTACTAATTGAGTGCCTCAGGAAAACCCTTTTGTCTAGCTCTCTGATCACATAGGTGATTATGTGTATTTTTTCAAAGTTTGAAAAAGGAAAAGGAAAAAAACTCTACCAAGAACTACAATAGTTTCTTTAACTCTCTTGTGAGAGTTGTTTTGATCTAATAACTTAAGTATGATTTCCCGGTATAAAAATGAGCAAACTGAGTCCTAGACAATTATATAGCCACAAAATTTTTAAAAATCTAAGATTCTGATCCAAGATTGTAACCTAGTTATGTCCCATCCAAAGCCCAATTTTTTTTTTATTCTAATGTTACCTTGTGGGGAAAAAGTGCTGTATGTGGAAAAACACATAGTATATTTATTGTCCTGTGTGTGAGCTGCTGCCGTCCTTTGTCCCAACACAAATCCAAAGTATTGGTAGCCTACAAAGATTTTCATTAATTAAGATTACATTTTCAAATAAGAATTTGGTCTGATCTCCTTTAAAGATTTGTTATGAAAACGCGAGGCAGAAAAACCTCATTTTATAAAGGGACAGTGTGAGTTGAAGAATTTTCCTCAGTGTTGCCAAAAAAAATTTAAGCCAGAGATTTTACTTCATAATTTAGGATTCCCTTCTAGTACATTTGATCATACCGCTTAGTATTAAAAAGGATTATGCTCATGTGGATTTTCTGACTTACTACCATATCTTAGTTTTTCTTTTATTATCTAACCTTCTAAATGGAATTAAACTGTATCTAGTACATAGTAAATCAGTAAATAGACTACAGCATTTGCCCTGATGGAATTTCAGTTTCATGGTGAGGTACTGGGAAAATTCTGGCTCAATTGTTACTGACATAGGAGGCTGTACGGTTATTTATTAGAAGACAGCCTGGGAGGAAAAGAGAAAATGGATTTATGTGATCTTGTATTGCTAAATACGGCACACTGCTGTTATCTTTCCTTTACTGCTTCCTCTAAAAGTCATCATTTCAATGCACTAATCTTTTTAACAGCCATTCAGTGGTAACTGGGCTAGAACTTTGCTAAGGGGTCACATTCACCAACCTGACGGTTATACATTTACAAAAGAAATAGCATGAATTTATTCAGCATCAAAACCTCTGCATCTTTTACCAAACTACATTTCACACTGTATTACCATCAGTGCACTATAATGGCTATATAAATTCCATCCAGATTCTTCATTTAATTAACTAGCATTCTTTGAACAAAAATAAAAGTGCTGTTTTTATAGACGAATAAAAGCTGCACAAAGTGAGTGTGAAGAAGACAAATCATCAAATTAGTTATTCTTCATTGCAGCTATGGAGAATTTTCTGCCCTTCCTCTTTCTCTTTAGAGGCTTTTTTTTTTTTTTTTTAGCTTGATTGAATGAAAAATGGAGAGTAAAGCAGCCTGAAATATGCCTATTGTAATGGCCACATCATAAGCTCATCCAGGGCTGGACAGTGATAATTATGTCATCTACAAGTGACTTTTTTTTTTCTAACATTTTCTGTAGTTGGCAAGGTGGTATAGCATAGTAGCCAACAACATGAACTTTATAACTATACTGCCAAATCTTAGCTGTCAATTATTAGGTTTGTGATTCTAAATTACTTAACTCTCCTGTGCATCAATGTCCTGTCTATAAAATGCAGATAAATAGGAGGATAATAATAGACATATCTATGGCAGCATGTGGATTAACTAAGTTGATGGATATAAAACGTTGAGAACAGTGCTGGCGCATAGTTAGCCATTACCTCCTGTAGGCACCGCAGCAGTCTGGTGTGACGTTGATACAGCTGTGTCACTAGAGACTCTCTTGATCATCTGAACAAAATTGACTAGTCTGGTAGGCAGGGTCAGTGTCCCTTTCTTTTCCAAATGCTTCTTTCTGAAAGTATTATCTTATTATAAAACAGTTACTTTCAGATACAAGGAAATAAAGTTTTTTGAGTCAAGGGCCTAGAAGGTGATTGGTTTGCCACATCTCTCCATCTGGCACCCTGCTGCCAGATTTAGCTTTCTAAAGCACTGTTTTCTCATATCATTTTCTGCTCAGAGGCCTTCAAGTCTTCTTCAGACTCAAGCTCCTTTGCCTATCATGCCTGCCATTTCTACCAGAACCTGACTCCCTCGCCCTCCCCAACCTTTTTTTATTCATTATTCCCCTATAGCAAGTCTCTACTCCAATCAAAATTAGTCTAGTATTGTTTCTCAGTGTGCCACATTTCTTCTTGTCTCTATTCCTTTGTTCACATGGTTCTCTTTGTCTAACATCCTCTGTTCTTCATCCATTTATCTAAGTCATATCTGATGTTCTAAGTTGAGACAGAAAAGGAGAAGTTATCTTTTGTTCCTTTGTATATTTGTCATAACCATGGTTGCTAGATGCAGTGGCTGCTTAAATAAATGCTATTGATGAACAATCCTGTTGGCTTTACCTTCAAAGTGTATTTAGAATCTAACCATTTCACACCAGCTCTACCACTGTCACTCTTACTGAAGCTACAGTTAATTTTTGCCAGTCTCCTTTTTCTTCTCCCTGCTTCTACCCTTGCTGACCACCTACAGTCTATTCTCAATACAGCAGCAAAAATAACACTTTTAAACTTTAAGTCAGATCACATCAATTCTCTGCTCAAAACCCTCCAATCATGTCCCATCTCACCCTGAGTAATACCAAAGTCCTTGCAATGACCTACAAATTCTCTTAGCCTCTGCCACTTCACTCCACCTCCATCCCTACATTCACTCTTGTTACCACTCTGTCCTCATATCTTATTATTCCCCTCTTCCATACCACTCCTACCTCTGCTACACTGGCTTCCTTGCTGTTTTCTGAAAGATGCAAAACACAACTTCATCTGAGGGCCTCCATGCAAACTGTTCCCTCTTCCTAGAAAGCTCCTCCTTAGGAAATCCTGACTCCATTCCCTCTGCAGGTCTCTGGTCAGTTATCTTCTCAATGAGACCTTTACCTCTCATCCCTGATTTACTATCTCCCCAAACTTAGAATGTAAATTCCAAGGAGCAAGAGGGCAAGTTTTTTGTCTATATTGTTTAGTGTTTACCCCCAATACTTGAAGCAGAACCTGACACATAATAAATACTTAATAAACCATTATTGAATGTATGAATGAAACACTGAGCCTTAAGAATATGCCAGCATTCCTAACCCTCCCAGCACTTCAAATGTATTTAGGCTCAAACTAAAGCAAATGTCCCATAACAGTTCTGAAAAAATTAAAATAGCCATAGTTTAATATTAGCCATGGCAATTGGAGCAGAAAGTTCTATTGCAGAGAAAAGAGATTTCTGCATCAAGTAAAGAAAAAGAAATGGTTTACAGCATATGAAGTGCGATATTAAATTATATTGGTGTCCTGGGGACTGTCTTTGACCCAGTACCAAGGTACATTTTTTTCCCTCCAAGTACATTCTGAGAGAACAAGTAGCTTTGGCTACCCTATCCTCTTCCTAAGGTGGAAGTTATAACTGTATGAGAGTTTTTTTGTTTTTGTTTTTTGTTTTTTTTTTTTTCATTTAGAGGCAGAGTAAAACAATAGAAAGGCAGCGTTAATGTTGGAGTCAGGCAGATCTAGTTTCAGATTCTGGCACTGCTCTGTGTCCTTTAACAGGTCATATAACTTCTCTGAGTCTTGCTTATGTATGAAATGGTTTTCTTAATAATGTCTTTCTCTCAATATTGTTCTAAACATTAAGTAAGAAAAGACACGTGAAGCACCTGAGACATAACATGTGGTTCTTAAATGTCTTGTGAGCATTGCATTCAATAACACAGTGACGTATTTTGCTACTGAATTCTACCTTTTGACTTAAGTACTAGATAGATTGATATCCATGAGAAAACTTTGGCCCCTAGAGATTGGTCCATGGAGAAGCCTCAAACACTGCTACAGATCTCTCAGCAGCATCTGATGACACTGCCACACCTTTTCAGAACATGAGTCCTACCACCTACTTTAGTTTTGTCGTAGCCCACTCTTTGTATCTTTTGAGCCCATTCTTATTCTTCTATTTCCCATTTTCAACTCTCTTCTACTTCCTTTATTTCCAAAATATTATGCTAGGTATGTGAAGTCAAGAGATTCCATACTGAAGTCAACTCCATACTGAAATCAACAAAGGAAAAAGTAACATCAGGCAACTACCTCACTTAATAAAGAATAAAGAACTAAAGAATATATGTATATTGACTTTTTAGAATTATAACTTCCAGGGCAATGAAAATATTTTGTATAAACCACTGACCTATTTCTTGTGTATTTTTAAAATGACATTAATTTTGAAATCTTTAGGAAGCCAAAGCTGTAGTTGAAGAAACAAGAGCCCTGCGAAGTCGGATTCATCTTGCCGAAGCTGCACAGAGACAGGCACATGGAATGGAAATGGACTATGAAGAAGTGATCTGTCTGTTAGAGGCCGAGATTACAGAGCTAAAGGCTCGGCTTGCTGATTATTCTGACCAAAATAAAGTAAGCAAAGCAGTCATCTCTTCCAGTTACCATGGTTTCCTTGCCGTTGTCATGTATCCTGTTTTCATTTTCTTTTCATCTGCACTTCTAAACTAGGTCAGTGTTTGTCTTCTATTATTCAGTGATAGGATGCTGTGTCGTGATGGGGACAATGTAAAGGTCTTCAGCCTTCCTTTATCCAGATGGCTTTGGGATAGAAAAGCATGTGCCCCAAATTTATTTAGGTCATTGGTCAGCATTGTTCAGTTCAGGTATTAAATCCTGGAACTCTTTTTTTTTTTTTTTTTTTTTTTTTTGATATGGAGTTTTGCTCTTGTTGCCCACGCTGGAGTACAATGGTGTGATCTCAGCTCACCGCAACCTCTATCTCCTGGGCTCAAGTGATTCTCCTGCCTCAGCCTCTTAAGTAGCTGGGATTACCAGCATGTACCACCATGCCCAGCTAATTTTGTATTTTTAGTAGAAACAAGGATTCTCCATGTTGGTCAGACTGGTCTTGAACTCCTGACCTCAGGTGAGGAGGACCTCTGCCTGCCTTAGCCTCAAAGTGCTGGGATTACAGGCATGAGCCATTGTGCCTGGCAGGAACTCTTTAATTGATTACATTGGTTTTCTTCTTTTTGTTTCTGAACTTGCTGATTTGTTTTATGAGAATGGGAGGAGGGGTGTCTAGGGATGGGTTTGCTCTTTGATTAGAGCATTCAAGGAAGTGTAAAAGTGAAAGAATGTTTGCCTAAGGCCAATATAATTAGTGGGAAGAAACTGAGTTTGATTTTTTTTTCTAATATAAGGTGTACTAAATAGATGATTTTCCAATTTCAATAGCAAAATACTGAATGCTTTTCAGAAGTCAATGTGAACTTTTTTTTTTTTTTTTCTGAGATAGTTTTGCTTTTGTCAGTTAGGCTGGAGTACAGTCGGCGATCTTAGCTCACTGCAACCTCTGCCTCCCAGGTTCAACTGATTCTCCTGCCTCACCCTCCTAAGTAGCTGGGGTTACAGGGGCCCACCACCACCCCCAGCTAATTTTTTGTATTTTTATAGAGACGGGGGTTTTCACCATGTTGGCCAAGCTGGTCTCAACCTCCTGACCTCACGTAATCCACCCACCTTGACCTCCCAAAATGCTAGGATTACAGGTGTGAGCCACTGCGCCTGGCATTGCAAACTTTTTTATGCAATTTTTTTTTACATAATATATACTATATTCAGTGAAGAGGTTTCAAAAACTGTAATAGTCATATATATTTATACTTCACTAAAGTAAGGTAGAAAATTGAGTAAATTGAAGTAAATATTCATAGAGTTGTTCCTTATAAACATAACTGGTATTTATATCTCTAATCCAATCAGTTTCTAAGAGAACGTAAAGCAAATCTGAATAATTTATGACTATTTGTTTAAACATTAAAATGATGAATACTTTAAATATACCGTGTGAAAATGAAACTAGTGTTAGAAATGCAAAATACTAAAGAAAATTTGTAATCTGTTAAAAGTCACTAAACTATTTCTCACATCTGTTCATTTAAACCAATTCCACAAGAAGGCTGAATTTCCCATCACCCTTCTATAACACCACAGGCCAAAAGTAAAACATTTCATTGACAAAGCAGCAATATTTAGGAATATTACATATTTGTTATTTTCTACCTAGTTTTTACATTCTGAAAATAGAGATATGTGATTATGTTATGCAAATTTTGCCTGAATATGAAAATATTTTGAGATTTATCAAAATGTCAAAAGTACTATTTATTATGGTTACTTTTGAAAAGTGTTCGATATTTTATTTTTAAATAATATAACTGTCATGAACATTCTCATGAATTTTTTTTTTTTTTTTTTTTTGAGCTTGGGTTATTTGTAATCTCTCCTCTAGCTCTTAACTGAAAAACATTTTTGTCCTAAGTTGCCTGGTAATATAATTAATTCAGTTTTTCTTTTATCATAATGGGGGTCTCATGCCATTTCTCGTAACAAGACCCTAAACCAGTAAGTAACCTGTCTTTGAAAGCAGTCTTTTTAAAAGAGCTATTAGATATGGTCATCATCTCAATGTTCAACATTTTCTAAACCCAATACCAGTAGAAAAAAAGAAGGAAACCTTTTTTTTTTAATCATGAGATTGCTTAAAGAGATATTGAACAAGATGTTAGAGAATTAAGTTTCAAGTGTTTATTTGTAGGATAACAAATTATTTTTATAACAATGCTTTTATTTTTCATTATTTTTATCTTTATGTATGTTATCTATTTATTTATTTACCTTTTGGAGTTTTTATTCACCTTCAACATAAGAAATAAAACACTCCTAGTACTTTGAAGACCTACAGTGTTTCTCTCTAATTTCATCTGCTACTCTTTCCCTCAGAGATAACCATTTTATTGGATTTATTGTTAACCATTTTCTCAAAAATTTTATTACTTATGTATATATTCCTTAACAATATGTTGTTTAGTTGTACCTGTTTATCAACTTTATATAAATAAAAATATACTCTATGTATCATTCTGATCTGCTTTTTGTTACTCAGCATTTTGTTTTTGCCTTTCATCTATTTCAAGTTTTCAGCTAGTTTGTGTCTTATTGTTTCTTTGTACTCTATTGTGCGGATATACTATAGTGTAATTATCCATTCTGCATTTGATGGACAGTCCAATTATTTCTGTTCTCTTCTGTTACAAATGGTGCTAAAACCATTTTAGTGAGTGTATCCTGCTCCACATGTATATTAGTTGCCTGCTAGAAGTAGAATTGCTAAGTTGAGTAATTGTTAAGTTTGGCTTTACTAGGTAATACCTATTTGTACTTGAAAGTGTTTGAACTAGTTTGTACTCCCACCAGCAATGAATAACAATTATTGTTTACCCCACATATTTGCTGACCCCTTGTTTATTTTACTTTTAATTTTTATCAGTCTGGGAGGTGTAATAAGTGTTATGTCATTACAGTTTAATTTGAATTTTCCTGGTTACTAATGGCTTTGAGACAGTGAGATGCCAGAACCAGCTGACACTAGCTCTTGAGAGCTGATTGCATGAATCACTTCTCACTCAGTGTACAGTGACATCAGATTGGTAGCTTCAAATCAGCCAAAATGGAATTATTTCTACCCACAAATGTCAGAAACCAAGGTTTCCTTCTCCCTGGTAGCCAGTTAAGCATATATTTATTTATTAAGCATTGTGTTTCTCTGTAAAATGCTTCTTCATATCTTTTGACCCTTTTCCCAGTGGATTAGTTATCTTTTTCATATAGATGTGTAGTGATTTTTCTGGTTACTAATCCTTTATTAAATGTTATGAAAGTCTTCTAAATTTCTGGCTTGCCTTTTCACTCTGTGATGAAATGGACAGGAGTTTTTAATTTTCATGTAGACTAACTTAAAAATCTTTACCCTCATGTATCTTTTTAGAAGTTCTTCCATTTTCAAGGATATAAAGATACTATTTTATATTTGCCTCTAAAAGTTTTAAAGTTTTGATCCTTCTGTATTGGTTTTGTGGCACTGTATGAAGTGGGAATCCATTTCATTCTTTGTTTATTTAAAATGAATATCTCTTCACCATTTACTAAAAAGCCCCTTCTTTCCTAGTTGATCTACAAAATCATCTCTGTCATATATGAAGATTTCATACATGTGTGAATCTGTTTGAGGTTCTCTATTCTCTTTTGTTGGTCAATGTATATTCCTCTATGAATAACACATACTGTTGCTTATTGTATCTTTTACAGTAAGTCTTGGTATCTGATTATCCTGCCTAATTCTTTTTCTTCAGAAGTGTGTTGGCTACATGACCCTTTGATTTTTTTTATTATCTATTTTAGATTCAGCTTATCAATTCCATAAAAAGAAAAAAAATGTATTACAATTTTCACTGAAAATTTATTAAATATGTAGACTAAATTGGGAAGAACTTACATATTTGTGATTTTCTTCATTTATGAACACCACTGAGACACAGAAAGGTTAATTTCAATGTGACAAGATGATCTAGTTTATATAATAATAACTTCAAAATTTGTTGATGTTTGCCTCATAGCTTACCTTGGAGTCTGTTTACAAATGTTCAAAGAAAACTTGAAAATAATTCAGCAATTGTTGGATGCTCCTGTTCTATATAATCCACTAGATCAGGGTCATTAAATTGTGGAGTTCAATTCTTCTTTGTTTATGTTAATTTCCTTGTCTGCTCAGCCATTATTTATTCATAGAAGTGTGCCAAAATCTCCCTTTTGGCTTCCTTTTTAATTGTATATACTTTGAATTAATGTTTTTAGATGCATATGAGCTTGGAATTATGTTATCATTCTTTTATGGTAATTTCATGCTCTTCAATCTCACAATCATCTCTACCCTTTAATGTCTATTTTTGATTGATAATAAATAGTAACACCATCTTTATTTTAGTTGGTATTTGTCTAAATACCATACATTTACTTTCAACTTTCCAATGTGTTTTAATTGTATCCATGGTAAATAACATGTAGCTGGATATTCCCCCCATCTTATTAATTTTTGACTTATAAATTGGAAAGACCTTCCTATTTAAACTGTTTTATTTGTTCATCCACTTGGCCTGATTTCTGCCCCTTATTTTGTACATTTTATTTTATTTTATTTATGTGCTCTAATAATTTTTCTATTGGTTCAGATTTCTCCTATGACACCTTGCCCCATTACATTCATTCCTCTCTATTTTCAAAGTTACGCATTCCTGTTTCTAATTTTTAATGATTATCCTAGAAATTTTAACATTCTGTTTTAACTTCAATTATAAAATTAATCAGTTCCTTTTCTCTTCTTCTAAATATTGTAAGCACTTTAGAACACAATCCCAATCATCACTCCTTATTTAATTTCCATTTTTGTCAGTATTTTAATTCTTTCTTTACTTTTATGACCACAGATTAGCCATTGATTATTTATTTTGTGTGGTTAGCATTTTCCTGATAGACTGCATGTTTACCATTTTCTGTTAAACATTCTTACATCTTAGACCTTCTCACTTTGTTTCTCTCTTCATGAGTACATATTTCAGAAATTCATGTAGTGAGGATCTGGTAATAATAAGCTCTCACCATTTTATTTGTTTGAAGAACAACTTTATTCAACTCTTGTTCTTGAAATATATTTTTGCTACATTTAAAATGTTAAATTGGCATTTAATTTCTTTCACTGTTTTTATTTCATGTTTGTGATGTCAGCTGTCAGTCTGTCATTTGTTTGCAATCTGTTTCCTTCTATATGATTTTAATATCTCTTTGGCTTCAATGTTCAGCAGTTTGACTATGATGAATCATGTGTTGACTTACTTTAATGTGTACTGTTTGGAATTCACTGAGCTTCCCGATTTGAAGAGCAATGTCTTCTGCCATTTCTGGAAATCACTAAGCTATTATCCTGAGCAATTTCTCTTTCATTCTTTGCATTTGCTCTTATGTAATTCAGATTGGATGTGTGCTGTAGCTTCTTCTGGCTGATTTCTCTTTACCTTTTCTTGCCATTTATATTTCAATTTTTGTCTTTCTGTTCCATTATAAGAAGTTTCTTCACCTCTGTTGTCAAGTTCATCCATTCTCTTTTCAATTGTATCTAACCGGATGTTAAATCTATAAATAAAGTTTCTATTAGTTAGGTTGCATTTTTATTTTTGAGATTTATTTTTTATGTTATCTGGATCTATTTCGATAGTTTCTTATGTATTATACTTTCAATTCCCTCTTAATTTTAAAAACATATTAAACTTAATTGCTTTATATTCTGTATCTGCTCACTCAAATATCTGCTGTCTTTATAGATCTGATACTATACTTTGTTTCCTTCAGTTAGCTTTAATTCATAGAGCCTATTTTCTCAGATGTTCAGTGATTTTTGTTTGTGTCTGTGAGGTCATGTTCTGTCGATACATTATAGATGGGAATTCTTTGAGATCTGAGTTTTAAAAATAACTCTCCAGAGTTTTGAATTTGCTCCTGCTAGCCTGGGACCAATGTAAACTAAAATTTTAGCATATGGCTTTTCAGGCCACACAGATAATGTAAATTCTGGCCCCACACCTGTGTGAGTGGGGATTTTTGGTTAGGAATCATTCAGATAAACTTTTTTACTTAAGTCACCTGAGCCAACATCAAAATACTGTTTACCTCTTGTGAAGTTTACTTCTTAGTTCACCCATTAAGATTCTTTTGTTTTCCATTTGTGCCTGATGAAACCGCAAACTGTAGGGCACCAGGGATCGGCATATACCCTCCAAGCAAATTACACTTTAGTGCTCTCTTACCTCAGTGGGTTAATTTGGCTTTGCTGTTGCATGTCTCCATGGAATTCGTTTACTTCGTTGCTAGCTTTATCTTACATCGTGTGTGTGTGTTTCTGTGTGTGTGTGCCTGTGTGTGTGTGTGTCCAGAGTTTTTAGATGTGTTAAATTGGAAGAGGATTCTGTCAGCATCTGGTAAGACACATTGCAGGGAAAAAAAAAAAAAAAAAAAAAAAACACCCATAAACTAATTTAAATGTATTTTACTGTAAGAATAAAGTAATATGCAACTTATCTCATAAAACTTGCAGTATCTCTGTGCAAATTAACTTTTAAATATACAGTTAGTTACATGCCCCCCAAAATCAGAAGATATTTATAGTAAGAGAAAAAAATAATTTGGCAATATTGAATATTAGTTCATAAAAACTGAAAATCAGGACCAGTAATGTAAAACTGGAAAAATGTCTAAATGCTCCCTTTGATATCTCTGTGCAGGAAAGTGTTCAGGATTTAAAAAAGAGAATTATGGTACTTGACTGCCAATTACGAAAATCAGAAATGGCTCGAGAAACTTTTGAGGCATCCACTAAAAAGCTTCTTCATTTTGTAGAGGTAAGATTTTCTGTTTTGTTATGTTCATCTTTAAAAAATATATAGGCAACTGGCATATACATAAATGTTACTGTATTTGGTATCTAGTGAAACATTCTCTAGTCTCAAAACAGCAATGCTGACTTACGGTCAGATTTAGAACTGCATAGATGATGAAAAGACTGGCTAACATTTTATAGATTGTTTAGAGAAATAATTGAGACAAGGTAATGTGATTCCAGATACAGACTATTTTAATGAATACTTTCCTAAAAATCCTGATAATGTATAAACATTATTTGTTACCTTATAAAAAATGTTTTTATATTTCTGAGTAAAATTGCATATTAGTTCAATTGTTGTTTTCCCCCTACATAATAGAAACATCAGTTTAATCCCTGGAAAGAGGAGGTTGTAAATAGTAATCAAGAAAAGACCCTTTTTAAAACTGTCAAACTTACATATCTCCTTCATCGTCTTGTTTGTTGCTAGGCTATTCAAGAAGTATTTTCTGATAATTGTACTTCTCTATCAAATTTAAGGTAAGAAAATTTAAGTGCTTTTTGTAGAATATGGGTAGTGATTGAATTCTTCACCTGGTCATTGTGACTAAAATACTAAAAATCTCTTAAATAATCCTAAGATGCTACATAATTCCCATTGGATGCCATTGTATGGAAATAGGTGCAAGGACATATTGGTTTGGATTGCATCTCTGTTAAAGAAATTTCTGGAGGCATTTAGTAATCATTGTAACCTTGTCCTCTAAAATTGAGGTAGGAACCACCTATCCTGTCTTTGTCAAAAATTTTTTAAAGATGAGATTAACTTGAAATTCTTTAATTGTCCTGTGTATGAATAAAAGTTTCTGGTCACAGGTTCGCTCCTAAAAACAACCTAGCAGATTAGTTTTTCTGGCAAACAGAATTTTGGAAAACATATTCATGCAATCATTTTCTTTCATTTTCGTCTTTCAGTAGATATAAATAAAATAAATATATTTGGAGAGTATACCTTGATTGTCTTATTCATAATATGTTTTGGATTTAAAGTTTCTTGCTAGAATCTGTAAACATACTAATCAAATTTATTTATTTCAAACCACAAATTTATGGTGATTTCGATACATGATGAAAGACATTTACAAAAGCAAGGTTCCTGTTTATGCTTTTCCGAAGTAATTTTTTTTAATCTCATAATAGCTACCACTAGTCCTAAATACATCTTCTACTTCTAACAGTATTCATTTGCAGAAACAGGAAGACTCAAATGAGGTTGGATGTATGGTGCATGCCTGCAATCCTAGTATTTTGGGAGGCTGAGGCAAGGGGATCACTTGAGCCCAGGAGTTTGAGACAAGCAACATAGTGGCAACATAGTGGGACCCCATCTCTGCCAAAAAAAAAAACTAGCTGTATGTGGTGGTGCATTCCTGTAGTCCCAGTAATACTTGAGAGGCTGAGCCTGAGGCAGGAGGATTGCTGGAGCCCAGGAGTTCTAGGAGATTGAGGCTGCAATGAGCTGTGATAATACCACTGCACCCTAGCCTGGACAACATAGTGACACCCTGTCTCAGGAAGTAAATAAATATTCTACTCTTTGCTGTGAAAACAGCAGCTTAATAAATGAAGATATTTTAGGTGTCCACATAGCATTTTTTAACATAAAAGAATATTTATAATACACTTCTAAGCTCATTTTAGTATAATGTTTTACTTCTTATGATGAAGGAATCTGGCATATCTTCTTACTATCCATGCTGCTTATGATATAAGATAACTCTGTGAGTTTCATGATTATTACTCTCAGTAAGGATCTAAAAATAATCAGTAATCTTATTTATTTATTTCTTGTATGAGTTAAATGTGTCACCCACCCTCAGCCTCGTAAGGTCTTATTTTTACCTTGACTGATAATTCAAAAGTTTTGTTTTAAAAATTAAGGTTAAAATGACTATTTAAAGGTCAGAGCCTGCCCTTGCCTTAAGCTGCTTCATGAAAAAAAAGGCAACTTTACATAGCTACATCAAGCAATGTTTCATGGTGTCTTAGTAAATTAAACACTAGTAAAATCTGGTGCAATCATTTCAATATAGCATATCTTCTACATGGAGATGGCCTTGGTCATTCAACACAGAATAAAGGCAATGTATTTGCATTTGAGAATTGATGCTTTTGCTTCTTTTTGTTAATTAATATCATTATGCTTAGGAACATGGACTATGAATAATGATAATTTTGTCATCAGTTTAAAATTGTTTCTCTTCAAGTGTGTTTTAGTGTAATGTTTTGAGGAAAACATCTAATTTTTAATTATGTCAGAATGCATTCAGTTTAAGTAACATTTGCATTTTTTAAAGTGTTATAAATGCTCTAGGCTGTTTTTAATTCGAGGCCAAAAATGGAATAGTTTAAGAAATAATTTCAGGAGCAAAAATATATATATATTAAATTTATATTTAATATTTCTAGAAGTAATAATGAATGTATGTTTAATAAATTCATGTTTTATGCTTAATTTGAATTTATCTAGAACTAAATAAAATTATATCATATTAGCAAAACACAAGCACTCACAAAATAATCCCAACAAATGATTTAGGAAACAAGTCATCCTTCTGTTACTTCTTTCTCATGCATGACGTCAACCTAATTTTAAAATATTTCTACTTATTATGTAGTAAATAACTGAAAACAGAAATATTGTTTTATGTGAATTACTTCAATTTTGGTTCTATGAAATAATGTCCTCAGAAATAGAAATATTTTTGTACAAATCTATAACTAATACAACTTCGGATTTAGTAAAGATAGATGTTGTTTATTGTATAGTAAGTTCAACTTTATTTTATTGCCTTCATAGTGAAAGAAGAGCTGTGTTAGCTTCTCAGACTTCTCTCACACTGCTGGGAAGGAATGGACATAACATCCCAGCAACGCTGGTGCTTGAATCTAAGGAACTTGTTAAATCTGTTCGTGCCTTACTTGATATGGATTGTAAGTTTTCTGCACTTTATTACTTTCTAAAAATAATTTCTTTAACAAAACAAAAGAAAAAATTGAAGTCAGACAGTTGAATTTAGTTATAGTGGCTTGCCTACAGCAAAATTGATACCTAATCAATAAAAATCTTAACGTACCAATCATAGGAGGAAAATAATTTCCTTTATGTAAAGTGCTTAGAATGACTTCCACCTGAAATAACTGATTAAGACATGCCTTTACATCTACTTCCATCCAGAGTTTCTTTGAATGGAAGTTTAAGTGTAAAAATCAATCCGCAGCAGCTCTGGAAACCTGGAAGACTGGAATCAGCATTGAGGAACTTGTTAATAAAATACTACAGATGGAATAAGATTAAACATACAGTCCAACTGAGCAAAAGACCCCAAAACACAAATGAAAGACAAAACTGAAGCAATGAGTTAAGTAGAACCATGGGAAAAAAACCCAGGGTCACAGACAGTGAAGACTAGGAACAGACTCGGGGGCAGTCAGTAGCATAATTAATTAAAGGGCTTGGAGTAGCTGAACCAGTTCCCTAGTCTTCAGAGCTGCTGGCTCAGGCATTTCCTCCTATGCTGGGGCCAGTAGAATACCTCTCTAAAGGAACTACATGACCTGTCAATAGATACTTCTAGAGTCAGCACTGGACTAGAAAGAGAAGTAAGGCAATGCTCTGAGTAACTTCCATCATCCCAACAGACAAAGGTCCTTGGGGAAAAGTTAAATGACTGGACATGCTCCTTTTTCTCTCTTTGTATCTCTCAGATGCTTTTGCCTCTTTATGAATTTCAACTCCTTTTTTCTAACTACTTCTTACATAACCTTTATTTTCCTGCAGTGAAAATTATAACTGACCTAACTATACCTATAATTTATTTTTTAATGACATGCTAATGTACTATAGAGGAGAAATAAGAGGGAGGTGATTTGTAATAAAATTATATATATATTTCAATATGTAAATGCTTTAGTACAACTATACTAAGATATATAATGTAGTCATCAGATGTTTGCACCTAAACAGAGAATCACCACAAATGTTACAACCATGAATGTAAACTGATACAGGAACATTGTATTGTCATTTTAAATAACATGAGCAGATTGTCATCAGTAATGTCCAAATGATTGTCCAAAATGGTGACCAATGGTAAAGTTCTGAACAGAAGAAAGCAAAATCTTCCATCAATTTATATAGTAGGTACAAGCCTGGGAAATTTAATGTATATTAAAACTATGCAAAACTATTTGGGGTTTATCTAAAAACAGAATTGTGTTCCAGATTCAAGTAATTAAGAACATATTTTTTACCACCATGAATATCTAGTAGGACATTTAAAAATTATACAGGATACAGAACAATTCTTCGTTGCACAGACTGTTCAGTGCATTCTATGATGGGATCTTTAACATTCCTAATATCCTTCCACTAAGTGCCAAAAATATCCCCAAACACTGTGACAATAGATAATGCCTCACAAATTACCAAAAATGCCCCCTAGGAGTAATACCATTCTTAGTGGGAACCTCTGATGTTGAGCCTTACTTAAAATATGAACCAACAACCAAGAATCACATAATAATGGTGAGGGGTGAGAAGAACTATGTAACAAGGAGATTCTCAAGGGAAAAAATTATCTTTAATTGAATAAAGATAATATAATATTCTGAAGATAACTATGTTACATTCTTGAAATAAAATGAAGTGATTGTCCTTAAAGAGAGTCAATAACATATTGCATTCATAACACAAGATGTAGTTGCATGAAAGAAAGCTTTTTTTTTTTTTTTTTTTGTCTTTTCAAGACAGGGTCTCAGTTTATCCCCCAGGCTGGAGTGCAATGGCTCAATCTCAGTACACTGCAACTTCCTCCTCCCTTGCCCCCTCACTCTCAACCCCAGGTTTCTCAGCTTGTCAAGTAGCTGAGAGCACAGGTGTACACCACCATACCCGGCTATATTTTTGTTTTTAATAGAGACTGGGTCTCGCCATGTTGCCCAGGATGGTCTTGAACTCCTGGACTCAGGCAGTCCACCCACCTGGGCCTCCCAAAGTGTTGGGATTATAGCCATGAGCCACCACGCCTAGCCAGAAGAGAGCTTTTAAAAAGTATTTTACATTTCCTTTTTCACTAAATGAGGATATTACTCAAAAAAGTCGTTTGAATATTAAATAATATAATTAATATAAAGCACTTACCTATCACATTCCTAGCACAAAACACATACTCAGGAGTATGTTTTGAATTGTGGTTGAATACATAGCACTTCTTTATTAATAAGCTGTTCTGTTTACCATTGCTGCAGAACAAATCAGCCCAAAAGTTAACGGCTTAAACCAGCAATTTAGTATTGTCTCTCATGGTCCTGTTGGTTAAGTGGGCTCAGCTCTTGTTAGGGGATTCTCCTGTGGTTGCAGTCAGATGTCTGTCGGGGTTGTAATCATCTGGTGACTCTACTGGGCTGGACATATAAGATGGGAGCTCAGCTTTGGCTATCAACTGGAACACCTGCCTATATTTGTCCTCTATAGCACGGTGACCTCAAGGTAATTAAACTTCTTAGGTGGTAGCTCAAGGCTCCAGCATAGGTATTTCAGTGAACAATACAAAAGCTGTATCACCTTTTATGACCTAGCCTCAGGAGTCACACAGCCTCACTTTCACCATATTCTATTCATCAGTGCACATTTGAGGGCATGGGACTTAGACTCCACCCATGTATGGGAAAGTGGTGAGGTTCTTTTATAGAAGAGCATATATTCAGAAGTTGTTATTGTGGCCATCTTTGGAGAATAAAATATGATATACTGGTATATGTTAAATGCAAATTAATTTAGTTGGGATGGCTCAATAATCATTACAAGTATCCATTAATATATGGCATATTAGTAGATTAGTGTGTGACATTTTGGTTGTTTTTCTGTGTCTTCCCTAATGTCACCCTACCTTCTTGTCTTTCTGCTTGCTTCTAACATTCTACCATCCCTCTAGTTTGCCACTTTTAATCTTCCCTATGCTAGGGAATAGATGAAGAAAGAGTGAGAGAGAGAAAGATATAAAGTTCTGTGTTAGTTAAGTATCAAAATGATGTTTTCAGTACAGTTCTGGGTAACAGATGGCTCGGCTTGGTGTAGGGTAACATTCAAAGACCGTTTAGGGTAAGTTCTGATTTCACAATTGTTATGGAGGATTGGAAACTATGTATCTCATAGTGTCTACTCAGTTTTCACAATAAGTGTATACTTAAAAATTCATATAACCTAATACATTTGTAAAAATCAAATATGTATGTCAAAAACTCATAAGAACTAATTATGTGAAGAAATTCTGTGGGTTTTAGGAGGAATGAAAATAATCACTTCTGATGTGTTATGTGTAAGTTCAGAATTTTATATATCAGACATTTTTATGTTGAGGTGGCAACAGTGGAAGAAAACACCTGCATAGACATAGCCCAGTGGACATTGCATCATTAATTTTCATTACCTTGCTAACATTAACTTCAATATCTGTCAAACGTGATTTTTTAAAGAAAATATTTAAAATTCAGCAGAACTTCTTTGGAAGAAAAGTAAAAATTTCATCTGCACTTTTTTCGTCCAGTGATACACAGTAATTTACAGGCCAGTTACAAATTAATTATGCAGTCAGGTTTTTAAATTTTTATTTTAATTTTAATTGACAAATAATTGTATGTATGCATGGGGTACATGGTGATATTTTGATATACAATATATAATCGTCAGATAAGAGTAACTAGCATATCCATCATCTCGAACATTGATCATTTCTTTGGGTTAGATACATTCAGTATCCTCCTCCTAGCTATTTCAAACTATGTAGTACATTATTTTTAACTATACTCATCCTGTACTAGCATAGAACACTAGAACTCATTCCTCCTATCTAGCTGTAATTTTTTATCCTTTAACAAATCTCTCTATTTCTCTGCTCTCCCTGTCCTTCCAGTCTCTAGTACCCTCTGTTCTACTTTTTACTTCTATGAGATCAACTTTTTTATACATACACACACACACATTACATTTTCCTTATCCATTCATCTGTTGCTGGACAGTAAGGTTGATTCCTTATCTTGGCTATTGTGAATAGTGCTGCAATAAACATGACAAGATGTCTCTTTGATATGCTGATTTTCTTTTCTTTGGATAAATGCCCAGTAGTAGGATTGCTGGCTCATATTGTAGTTCTATTTTTGTTTCTTGAGGAGCCTTTATGTCGTTCTTCATAGTGGCTCTACTAGTTTACATTCCCACCAGTGGTGTACAAGGGTTCCCTTTCTCTGCATCTTCTCCAGCATTTACTTTTTGTGTTTTTGATAGCAGTCATCCTAACTAGGGTGAGATGATAGCTCATTGTGCCTTTGATTTGCATTTCCCTGATGATTAGTGATAATGAACATTTTTCATCTATTTGCTGGCCATTTTTGTGTCTTCTTTTGGGAAATGTCTGTTAAGATCATTTGCCCATTTTTAAAATCAGATTGGTTGGTATTTTGATGTTGGTTTTCTGGTAGTAGTTTGAGATCCTTGTATATTCTGGATATTAATTCCCTGTCAGATGAGTAATTTGCAAATATTATCTCCAATTATGTAGATTATCTTTTCACTCTTGATTGTTACCTTTGCTGTGCAGAAGGTCTTTTGTTTGATATAATCTCATTTGTTTATTTTGCTTTTGTTGCCTGTGCTTTTGAGGTCTCATTCATAAAATCTTTTCCCAGACCATTGTTTTAAAGTGTTTCTCTTATTTTATCTGCTAGTAGTTTCATAGTTTCAGATATTACATTTAGGTCTTTGATTTATTTTGAGTTGATTTTTGTATAGGGTGAGACATGGTGATCTAGTTTCATTCATCTGCATATGAATAGTTTTTCCAGTACCATTTATTGAAGAGACTATCCTTTCCCCAGTGCTTTTGGCACCTTTGTCAAAAATCAGTTGGCTGTAAATATGTGGATTAATTTCTGGG